GTTTTGATAAGGTGTTGGGCCAATGAAAACCATCTTCTAAAAACATGTTCCCCCATTTGGTGTGATGATGGTTAAGGTGGAGAATGCTGTTAAACATGTTGGTCAAACATTTCCCATAGGTGTTCCATTGGGTTGACATCTGGTAACTGTATGGAAACATCTGCATTTTGCTTCTTACTTTCATTTTTTTTGCTTTTTGTATAAAATCTGGTATGATTATGTGAGTCTTTGCACCCATGGATATAGATTCCTCCTTCAATACATTCTTAATTCAATTTGGACACGATAAGGACACAATATAACAAATCCTAAATTTGATATTTATTTTGAAACAGACCGGAAGTCACAAATGTTGCTCTGTCAAGCTCGATGATAGCAGCACAGCTGTTGTCTAACAACAAAAAGCGTGCTTCATTATTATGAGCCTTACCTAGTCTATAGCGGATGAGTCCTCTGTTGTAGAAAGGTATTTCATACCGGCTGTCAGTCTCTATTGCGGAAGTGAAGTCCTCTACTGCTTCATTAAAATCCACCCGGAGGTACTTTATCTGTCCGCGGCTGTTATAAGCACTGGCCAAACTACTAGCTTCACAGTCCCTGTGGAAATATGACACCGTTAAACATGGATTATTTAACAATTGATGCATTGAAAGGACAGCGAATAGAGAGTAATCAAATTGAAGTCAGCAACAGTTAGCAAAAAACCGGGTCAACCACATTAACAGATAACAGAATATGGTGCAACACTAGTTTGACTGTTAGCTCGTTTTACTTCTCCAGAACGGAACAAACAGTACCTGAACTGTGCGCAGGACGAGATAAACGTTGTGTAAAGTTCTTCTGCCCGTTTGAAATTCTGTGTTTTAAACTCAGAGTGAGCATATTCAAGGATTTGGGGATTGTCTTCCTCCATAGGTTAAAGGTGTTTTTTTTTGTCGTGCTGTTCCGACTGCGGATATGACGTCACAAAATACAACATCCAATCAGTTTCAGCGGGTCGCAAGTGGGCGTGGCTTGCAATGAATAGAGTAAAATTTAATAAGAAATACTGTATTTCCCCTTTGCATCTCATATGATTTATAAATTTGATTTTACTAATTTATAGTATATTTCATATTATCAATACTCTATATTTATATGCTCATGTTCAGTTTGAAATATTAACAAAGATGCCCCTTTCCCTACATTTTTTGTAATATTGTGACAGATTCGTCTTTCTCCATAATTCTTTTTTAATTTTAATTTTAAATTTTAACTCAATAACCAGTGATTATATGCAATCAATATGTGACACCTCCCATTAGTCGTATATTGTTTGACCTATTGTGCACAAAAAGAGATGGATAAATATTATTTCTCATAAAATAACCCGAAAGTATATGTAGTGATTGAAATCCAGGCCATACGGGACCATACAATCTGAAATCAGCAGGTAACAGCAGGTGGCACTCTTGACTCAGATCTCAGTCTTCAGTGCAAGTTATGTAGGTGCAATTAAAACTAGTTCAAATTATATATGCATGCAATTTTAACACAGATTCCAGTCTCCGGCTAACTGAAACAGTATTATTCTAACAGTACAGCAATGGTGGTGTTTTACATTTTAAAGCCAGGGATGTGACCCTAACAGAAACAAACATCTGTCACACCAGTCTCATTACAGTGTGGACACTCGCTGCAGTAAATACACAGCAAGGAAGGAACCCATAAGCAAACTGGTGAGAAATTCTCAGACCATCTCCCAGGTGAGGATGTCAACTGCCCTGGTAAAAAAGGCCACCTTAAGGAAGCAAAGGTCACTCAGTAGCCGTGCACTTTCCTTTTGCGGCCCATTAATCTCCAGACTGTGTGGACGAGTTGAAACAGATCAAACGGAGATGAGTTTGACCCAGAGGAAGACAATGCAGGCACTGTTGACACTCCTGAGAAAATGGCAATAACATGCAACCTGTGGAAATGTAGGTTAACTGTAGGCCATTTCATCACATGAAGCGAGACATCGTGAATCTATAGAAAGTCTTAATTTGACAACTGCAGCCTGTACAGCTGAAGCAAAGCCTTGGATTACCTCCTTACTTCATTTGTGGGTGGTAGAATATGGCAGCAAAAGAACAAAACAAAAAGAAATGATGGTAAAGATCCATATAAAACGTATTTGACAAGGTCCACTCACCAGCTTTTTTTTCAGATCTTGCAAGCACATTTTCTTCAACAGGTGGAGTTGGTGATTACAGTATATTTCCAAGTCCAGGAATGGACTCAATACTCAGTACATGCTCAATAAAAAAAGCTTTTCTGAAACAGATTATTTAGAATATTTACATTTTTTTCAGGCTCTCAAATTTCTTTATATATAGATGTATTAAATAATATTGTCTCTCTATTTGCAAGTGAAACAAAATGAAACAGCAAAAAAACAAAAAATCAATATTAAGTACATTATTATAATTATAATTATATGTACATACAGTTCAACTGTTATTTTGTTTAATTCCTTTTGTTCATTTTCTTATACTATTATACTTTTTGATAATATAATAGCCCTGTTCTACCTTAGCATTAGTGTCATAATATCATATGTATTCCATCCTTAGTAACTTCATATGTAGAGTGGTATGGTATGATATTAGAGTGGTATGAATCTTCTTATCTAACCCTTGGCAAGAAAGCCAGTAAGTGTATTTCCCAAAATGTCCAACTATTCCTTTAATACAGACTATCCTACAGTGAAGGAATAACTAATGTTAATGCCACGAATTTTTTCTCTGAAAAACCACATGTGTTTATTTTTATTCAACTTTGCACCAAGTTCTACATGTCTTTTCCACGTCTCATCGGTATGTGAGTCCCATTCATCTTCCTCGAAACGCCGGTGGGCTCACCTCCCTGACCGCTCATGTGTGTGGTAGCCATGAAAACCACTAAAATAGCGAACAAACACAAAACGGCTGTCTGGTTAAAGGAAGGAGGGAGAGGATCCAAACCAGACCAGAGGTAAACGTTGACGTGTTGGCTCTTTACCTCACACGGACAGAGCAGACAGAGAAGCTCTGTTGTCGGCTTCCTTCCAGAGGTTACGTGATGACCTCTGTCTGTTGTTTTGGCAACACCGAAGGTGTAAGAAAACACATGATGGTACACAAACAGATGGTGGTGTAAGAGAAATGTTATTGTCCAAAATAATTTATCAACTCAGGTTAGTTGAATCAATAGCTCTACTCAGTCACGGGACGATTGTAGACTTTATTCCAGCTTCATTTTGAATGTTTAGTGACTGAATGTCTGTTTCTTTAGGGTTAGGGAGTGGTCTTTCCTTGACCTCAGCTCTCAGAGCGCTTTGACTGTTTTTGTGGAGCCAGAGTAAATTATAACACATAGTTAATAGAAATGTGAGAGCTTGTCCATGTTTACCTTTCTATATTGACATAGAAATACATATGGCACTGCGAAGTACAGTTATACAACATATACTGATATAATGGCTCTTTCGTATCCACAGAAACACATTTTAGAGTGATGTGTTGATTCAGCCAACTACTTTATAGCGCAGTACAGACTGACACTTTATCTCCATTAAGGTTTCATGAAGACACAATTAATCCATCAATAACATTTTTTTAAAGGGCATTTAAAGGAATTTGACTTGAATTATTAGAACTCATCATAAGTCAAAATAATGTTTTTGTCCTCACATGAAAATCCACAATGCTTGTAAGTAGAGAAATGTATCATTCGCCTTTTAAAAACAATAAAAGTAAGATTCAAGTTACAATCCTTCAAACTTTCATCAAACGTAGGCACTTTTTAAGCAATAGCCATTCCATGTATTCTGTCACTGCTAGTGGCGGACCCCGCCATTCCCATGCTGGCTATAATTTACTGGGATGTAATCCAGCCTTATTTTATTTCACTATTATCAGCTTCACTGTTAAGCCTCGAAATATTATGTTAAGCCATAATATTCATGAAGTTTTCAATATCACCTCCAGTTTAGAACTCAAAAAGACAACACTGTGCACAACAACCTCCTTTAAAGTTTTTTAATTGTCTGATTTGTCTGCTTGGTTACATCTATGATTCTTAGCAAACATTACATGTCATCTGATAACATTCACAGACACAAAGGATTAACATTCATTATGCATGAAACATAATACAAATTGTAACAATACTTTAAGTGTTTTAACAGATTATACAATAAAGAAAATATGCAAAAGTATCTAATGTAGGAAAGAATTTACTGGTTGTAAAAAAAAAAGAATCTATTCAAATATGTAACTAATTAAATCCAATTTGATGTTTTCATAAAAACTACTATATACAATATGCAACTTTGTACAAAAACAATGCAAAGCATACTTCATAGAGTACAGGAGAAACAATGGAAATAATACTTGTTATCTTCGGTTATTATATGTCACACTACTTTCATGTAAGTGTTTAGAGAAACTGTCTAAGTAGCTTTAACTGCAGCTTCAAAACATTGCATTTAATGCCCACATCCAACTGTAGACATTGTAACTCAACAGTGCACTACAGTCAGTAACTTGAGAAATATTGTTTCATGAATCACAGCTTGACACGATCTGTGGTTGAAATCCATACAGTAGTTATGGGAGGATGGATGACAGGAAACACATGTCCAGGAAGTAAGCCAGTGAGCTGTCTCTGCAGAAAGTAAATAAACAAGAGGTCAGACTGTGTGGAGGGTAGGAGGCTTTTTACCACAAATCTCTCCCAGAAAAAAAAGCTGTCAATACCTGCCACTGCGTCCAGCTCTAGGCACGGGCCAGCATGTTCTCCAGACGCTCTATTCTCCCAGACACGACGACTAGTGAGATCGGTCAAGAAAACTCATTTGCAAACGCATTTACAGGTACGATTAAATGATCAAAACACACACAAAACACACCGCTAAATTATATTACAATTACAATGCCAGCAGGTAGATATAATCAACTTTCGTTTCACAGAAATGTGCTGTTGAGAATGTTTCTAACATAAAGTCTTTGATCTGAATCAACAGGAAGGATATGCTTGGCTGTGAGCTGCTGGATGGCAGCCTGCGTCCGCTTCTGGAAAGCCAGTCTGGCTTCACATTTACAGGGATCCTCCACCACCACCACCGCCTTCACCTCTTCTCCTGGAGAAAGTACATTTCACATCAGTGCAACAGATCGTGTAGAGAGTGAAAAAGCACACAAAACACCACCCACACTCTACTTTTTTTTCAACTGGGCTGCAGTTCATGCTTGAAAGTACACTTCCCAAATTATTCCACAGTGTTAATTTACCATTACCTTTGCCAAAACAGTAATGCCATAATAGTGAATACATTCTATAATATTACCCGACGTCCAACAAATGCTACGGTCAACAGTGAATTACAGAGTCAGGAATTAAGCCCCAGTTGGTTGTGATGTTGTGAAGCCCTGCTCCGAAGCCAAACACATTCTGCACATTGCTTTGAAATATTTTACACATAGACTTTTAGCAGCATTAATATCACAACAAAAAGCCACATTTGCATTATCCACACAGTGTGTTCTTACGTTTCGGGGAACACGTTTTCTTGTCTGCATTCAAGATATAACCAATCCGGCAGTGGCAGTAATACGAGGCATTGCTGTTGACACATATGTGTTCGCAGTCATGTCCCATAGCACAGGGGTCCAGACCTGGAATAAACCGGGATTAAGGGATGGCGCTGTCAAGATGGCAGCATGGGTACAGTTTCATGCATTATGCTATTGGCAGGTATCCTGTGATAGGTAGTGCTCTGTAGATCCATCAAACCAGTTGATGGTTATCAGTATCTCCTTCTACTGTTGACAAAAGTAAAATAAAGTATTTTTACTGTTACAGTTATATCTCATTCAATTTCCGATATTTTTTTTGCTTGTACTGGTTCAAAAAAGCTTTTCATGTGTTTGTACTTGACCACATGTCATTTGTGTTGGAAAACTTGATCCATTCATACACCTTCACCACATCTCAGCCAAGATCGTTCACTGTGTGTTGGACAACACAGGTAAAATCACAGAACCCTGAAGTACAACAGGAATGACAGTTATATGGACATATTATCTTATTAGGTACCAGGGGGGACAAGACACACATCAGACAAAAACTTGGGGACAAATTCAGGTTTACAGCCGAGCCTCATTTGTCCAAATCTTTGAAGTTCTTGTACAATCTAAATCTCGCCATTCAAATAAATTATTCTGATCAGTAAATTGCTTTAGATTGTTGAAATTTTCATACATTTTACCAGCAACAATTAGAGCTTTTTGGAGCTCATATGGATGTAGTAGACAAGTGCATTATGTGTTATGCACATGTCCATATTTGAGTGTATATTTCCATCATTATTCCATTAGTTCTTTTGAAAAACGGAGGTGCATTTAAATAATTTCACGTAAAAACGGATACAAAAGCAATCACCACGATGATGCTTTGACTACAAACCATTTTCTAAAGATCACCATTTACATTTTTTTGCCTTTAAATAAAGAAGCTGAAAGTTTAGGGCTGCACAGCCCCAAGACTTTACACAGGTTTAACTTGGCGACTACAAGCAGGTTCTAGTACCGACATCTGCAGTCCATGTGGGGGTTGAGAGCATCTGGTATTTTCCCTCATGACTTCACAGTTTATATTTCCCCAATAACACAGCAAATGATCCACAAACTGCAACAAAACCCCCTGTAGACTGTAGGTGCCCCGTACTGAGGAACTAGAACCTTGGTTAATGGTGGGAAAAAGATCTCGCAGGTCTCTTTGTCCTACCGCACAGGGTCTCCCTGAACTTGGAGGTGAGCTTCTCGATAACACCGTAGGTCTCCACATAGAAGACGTGGTCATCCAGAGGGATGCTGGCCATCAGCTGCAGGGAGCGCATGTCAGCTCGGTCGACCCCGACAGCGTAGATCTCGATGCCTGAGGCCCGAGCAGCAGCAGAGACCTCCTCCACCTGGTCTTGGGGTCTCCCGTCTGTCACAATGATGGCCACCTTGGAGATTTTCCTGGAGCGAGGCCGGGCTCCAGACTGCTCGGTGAAGGCTTCGTTCACTGTGGTCTTGATGGCGAGGCCCGTCATGGTGCCGGCCGCCAAGGGCTCAATGTGGGAGATAGCTTTCTTCATGTCGGGTTTGTTGAAGTGGCTTTTGAGGAGGAACTCAATCGTGACCGTGCTGGCGTAGTTGACCACAGCCACTCTGGTGGCGTCGGAGCCGACGTCCAGCGTGTCGACCATGTCAGCCAGGAATATCTTCACCTTCTCAAACTCACCAGGACGCACACTGCGAGAGCTGTCGATGATAAAGACCAGGTCCAGCGGGCGGCTCCTGCACTGAGAGTCTGTCTCTGGTGATCAACCAAAACCATGGCAGGATTAAGTCCATTTCATACTGAAAACCCAGTTCATTATTCAAACAAACATTCAAGCTTGTTGGTTAAACTGTCATAGTGAGAAAAAACAACAACACAGGACACTTTGGGATACACAACACATGACCCCATGGTGACAGAAGGAAACTGTTGTGCATCACTGCAGTGCTAAAATGAAAGCTGCTGGTGAAATGATTTAGTGTGCCATAAAACATACTGCATCATTTCAGTCTTTCAACAGTCCATCACAGGACTTATCCTTTTATTTCATTTCCATGAATTAAAAGGATGCTCGATGCCCACACATAAAAAGTGGCATCACACCTAAAGCCTGAGACAGTGTTAGGAGCGCTGCATGTACAATCACACATGTACTGAAGTACATGCTGCAGTTCAGCATCAGATCCAAAGCACACATACTGACTGTTTTTACACTTTTCGAAAATATGAACATTTGCTTTAATTTTTTTCATAAAATAAAAGATCTTTTCCATGCACAAACAAATTTCTTTTAAATGTTGTGCACACATTTGTTTGAATCTGTGTTAGTGACCACTTGCATCTTTGCCAAGATCATCCATCCACCTGACGCTGATTAAACAGCATGATTATAACACAGGTGCACCTTAGGCTGGTCTCAATGAAAGGCAACTGAATACAACACATTTATTAGGATGTCACATGACTTTATGAGCAACATAAATGCTTTTCTTTTGGCACGCTCCCTCAAAAGTAACGACATCTGTGGCATTGTGTTGATAAAACTGCACATTTTAGAGTGGCCCTTTATTGTGATCAGCCTCAGTCACACCTGTGTAATAATGATGCTGTTTAATCCGCCTCTTGATTATCCACACCTGCCAGATGGATGGATATTCCTGGTAAAGGTGCACATGCTAAACTACAACCGATTCAAACTAATTTGTGCAATCAATTTGAGAGAAAAAAGTATTTTGTGTGCATAGAAAAAGTCTTAGATCTTTCATTTCAGAAAACAAAAGGGTTGATATTTTTTCAGAGTATATATACGTACATATAGAAATACATTAGTTTTAGCTCTGTCTTATCGCCTGCTTTTTCTTTTTTGCTTTAAGTTCCTGGACATATTCACGGTCATAAATTCAAATAGGATGAATAATGAAGTGAAAGAAAATGGCAATTCAGTCTGTTTAGAATGCTACTTATTTGTCTCCTACCACGAAATGTTATAAAAATTCAATTATATCACTTTTCAAATAAGATAACAACTACTTCAAGTGGTGTTTCTATTCTTATCTCAGAAGAAAAGAAACAGATCTGAGCTGGAAAGCATTGAGGATTTGGTTTGGAAAGCAAACCTGACTGGTAATATTCTACCTGTCTCCACAGGACTGACGGTGGTGACGAAGCCGCTTTGGGTACTGACCAGCAGCGTCACAGGAGCGGTGGTCTCCGCTGGCGGCGCGGTGGTCACCACCACCGTCAGGCTGGTTGTCACCGGTGCCACTGTGGTTGCTGGCAGAGTTGGCTGCACTGCTGGCTCTGGTAGAATTGGAGGGACAGTGGGGAGGTGCACTACAGGTGCTGTTGTTACTGGTGGGTCTGACTTAGCTGGGCATGGACCTTTCAATTTGTAAGGGAACGGCCCTTTGAGCCTGTGATGGGGATGTTGAGCTACTGGCGGAGACAGACCTTTGTATATGTGGTGCATTTGTGGCACCACAGGCCCTTTGAATCTGTTGTAATAGGGCGGCATGGCCACCGAGGGCCTGCGGTAAGTCACTGGAGGATATAGAGGGACAGGTCGATACACGACCGGTGGAGGGATCCTTGGTGGCTGGTAGTGGTGGTGATACCCTCCTCTATACGTGTAATCACTTCTGTGCACTACAGGGCCACCAGAAAGGAAAAGTGATAGAGAACATTAGTAGGCTGAAAGTAAAGGAAAGATGTGTAAGTTGACATTGACAAGTAAGTTGTAGTGAAATATACAACATCAGACGGACAAATTATTAGTTGATGCACGAGTGTAAATTCAGCCACCTGGGTTGTTTACAACAATTATCTTGTATAACGCTTGTGAAACACTCAACAACTTTCACATTTCATGCATGTTGTGTTCGAGAAAAGTGGAAGATACTGTTGTTATACTACTGGTTAAATTACATTTGTGAAAGATGAAATATTTAGCCATACTCAGCCAGGTCTAGCTTTTAATATTTTCTTCTTCAATTCTTCAATTTACAAAAATGACTTAGATTCAAAAAGTTTAGAGGAGATTTAAAAAGTCTAATGTGGAATGTAATGCAAGTACATGTATTCAACTACTATAGTGCAGTGTTAAGGTACTTGTACTATACTTAAACACTTTCAGTATACACTACTTCTACATCTGAGAGGGAAATATCGTACTTTTTACTCCCCTAAATTGATTTGACAATTATAGGTATTAGTTAGGATACTTAGCAAATATAACATTTTACACACCAAACCTACGATGACCATAACCAACTACTACATTAAAATACTGCTTACACATACTGCAAAATATACTGTACAATAATGCAACACTAAAAGGGGCTGTTTCTTCTGACAGGGGTGCTTTTTAACTACTCATATTACCTACTTTTACTTAAGTTCGTCTTTAAATGCAGGATTTTTACTTGTTATAGTGTTTTTCAGGTGAAAAAAGTATTCAGAACAATGTAAAGACACTCCATTACATGTAAACAACTTAAAGTAAAAGTATTATTGGCAAAATGTTTTTACTGTATCAAAGTTAAAGTACTTGTGCTGCACAATGGCCCCTGCAACTGACTGACATTAGATTTTACATAATATGGATCAATGTGCAAGTAATATTCTACTGTTGCAGCTGGTCGAGGTGCAGCCATTTTTTAACTACTTCATATACTATTAGGTTTAATCAGTGATTCTCAACCTAGAGGTTGGGCTCCTTCAAAAGGCTCATAAGATCTGAATCTGGGGGGTTGTGAGATGAGGAAACTGTTTTTTGAGAGGGGTCACAAGTTCAATTTATGGTTTGATTTTTAGCACTGCATTGTGTCTAATAAGCTTATCATATATGCCATTTCTAAAAAAATTTAAAAAACATCTGAAAAGTCACAAGTAGACACAGCAGTCAAAAAAAAACTACTGCAGTAAAAAGTACAATAAATCTCATTGAAAAGTAGTGAAGTGTAACGTAACGTAGGCCAGCACCTTGCAACGTTACTTAGAATAAATAGTAAATTAAGTTAATTACTTTTCCACCAGAGATGTTTTATACTGATATAATCGTTTCTTTTACTTAAGCCAAATACTTCATCCACCACTCTTACTAACTATGCCTAACTGTCTTTCAGAGAAAGTAAAGTTCTGATACAAGTTCCAGTAAAACTTACTTGATGGATCCAGGGTCCTGAACGGAGGTCGCCCATTGTTTCTGGTTTGAGCGTAGCTCTGTGCGGCGATCAGCTGAGGATCCCCCGCACTGATGTGATATGTGGCCAGAACATCAGACAGCAGCAGCGACAAGAGGCTCCAGAGGAAAGACTTCATCCTTATGTGCATAAGGTCTGTCCGGTGCCTGCTCTCAGTCTCAGAGGGTCCTGCTGAGGTCTAACCGCCTCCACGTATGAGGGGCTCTTAGACCAACATGTCAAAACCTCTGGCCAATCCAGAGGTGCGACATGACCTCCATGACACCGTGAATGGTATGTCCTACCTGCAAAATGTGGAGGAGACTTCAACAGTACCGATTATAGCGATGCCCCCCCCCCTCTGCAACTCCAATTTGCTTCATGGTTGTTTATATATAAAGGCCACGAGTCCCCAAAACGCACCACTTTACACTGCCAATATATTCTTCATATATTGAGTGAACTATTCACTAATAATACAAAATAAATACATTAAGGTTTGTGTTAAGGGGTTAAAGGTCACAAGTTGTAGGATGAGCCTTCAATATGGTTCAAGCGACACTTGGTGACGATCGAGTTCATCAATTATGTCATAAGGTAAAATACAAATGTCAAAGTAATATTATAAAATCTATGCTATGGTGAAAACAAGAGGATTTAATTAAACCAAATTTAAAACCAAAATTTTTACCATTTGTGTTGCTGCTGCTGAACATTGTGTGAGGTATTGAAAAGCACCTCTAAGCACCTGTTTGGGGTTGAGATTGGGCTGAATTTATTTCAGCATACTTGTCATGAACAAAAGACTCACGAAGATAAAATTGTTCTGAAACGTTTATTGAAGTCAAATGTATTTCCACTAGGACAAAATCATATTACCAGTAAAGTAATGGAGAGGTTGTTGATAAGCATGCGACTACTAATGTTCACAAGACTAGCCGTTTGCTCCAGACGTCAGGCGAAAAAGAAGCTGAGAAAATGATACATCATCAATGCCTCTGCTCTCTCCCTCCCCGATAGTCTCTCAGTCTCAGCTGGGAAACTATTCACTTGCTTCGCTAACACATCCGGGCAGCAGTGACACAAATGTCAAGGGTGGCGGTGAACTGAACCACAGCAAAGCTAAAATAAATAACAGACGAAAAAGTGCTACAGACTCCATTCAAGACTGAGATGGAATAGCCTAGATCTTAATAATTAGGGGGGGAAAGTAACACAATTCAACAATAAGAGCTATAAGAATAAGAGGATTGTCATAATAGTTTTTTTTTTTGTTTTTTTTACACTTCATATATCAATCTATAGATAGGATGGTGCTGGGTCGATGAAAGCATTTCAAGCAATGTCATTTTCACATGAATCCCTTTTACTAAGACATAAAAAGGCCAGAGGGGCGGCAGGGTGGGTCTGGTAACTTCCGTTGCTTTTCAAACATCACATTCATTCATTTATTCCACACAGATTTCAGTCTCCCCCCCCCTTCCTCCTCACACACCTCCGGGACGCTCTATAGAAATACAGAGGGGAGGGTTGGACAAACATCGTCAGTGGCCTTACACATACACTGTAAGGGGG